AGTCTCCAGACTGATTAGCAAATGAAATCTTGAAAGCTCGCGAGATCAGGATGGTTTCACGAGGCTAGTATTCAGACACTTTATCAACTAAATAAGTTATATACATTTCATCCTTTACACCACTTTTACATTTTCAATTAGCATAATATGTCTCATTATTATTATTATGATTATTAGGGGTCAGGGTTTTTCTCTGTGTTTCTTGTAAATTTAGGAGGTAAAATACAATAAATAAGTAGGATGCCAAAAGGAATCGGCCTGACTTTATCTTTAATGGAGCGTCCTCTGTCTAAACTAACCTACTGGGCCACGTTACTGTTGTAGCCAACCTTTTTGAAACTCTCAGTGTTTTCCTTCCAATGCGAATCATCCCAATATCCTAAAAGGACTCAACAAAATACCCCACCTGCCACCAAAGTTTTGACGTCAACACAGTCAAAACTGATATAATGAAACTGGTAAGGTGGGTATACTGTCAGGGTTCCTGTGTGTGGGTTAGTGCTAGTGATGTTATGAGATGAGGCGAGGCTTAGAGACTTGTGTCGAGTAATGGTGGAGGCATTTCCCCGAAGCGCGTGTCGAGGCGTGATTCATTTAGGGGAGGGGCCAAAATTTATGACGTCTGAAGCCTCGCTACCGTGACCGCTTCATGAAGATGATGGAGTTTGGAGGAGAGATGCTGTTAGCTGGATAAATTTTAGATATATTCTAAGAATAGATTGGTTGTTTTTTTCCCCAACCAATCTAATTGCTTAAAACTATTTTGGTGAGAATAAACAATGTAATGATCAAAATCTGAGCCACTTTAACATTCTCCACATAAGTGGCATCATCTATTAGACGCAGACTCCCTCTCCATAGGTTGATGGTTCAAGACCTGCCTTTGACTTTTGAAAGTTGCGATTATACTTAATTATTTTGCTAAATGAGACTGATTTGCATTGGTTTCCCCCTAGTAAAAATATAGATTGGGTAAAAACGCTGCCAAATTAGGTTGGTTTAGCCAAAAGATTGGTTGAACACAATTTTTCAATCCGATTAAAACCAGAAAATTTGGAAAAACTATTATGTTTGAATAAAAATGACTGACACCTTTCATTTTGCTCATCATTGCCCGATTTGCACAAACTCTTTTACTGTCTGCTTTAGTTTATTTCACTAAAATGGCAGAAAAACTGTGCACCTTAAATTATTGTCCTAAGAAATTTTAACCTTAAAAAAAAATACACACCAACTATTAAAAAAAAAAGAAAAACAATTGCAAAAAAAAATCACAGATTTTATTACTAACTGTAGTTCTGCTTTCCACCAGTAGGTGCTGACATATTCACACGAGGCTTCATGAACTGTGGGGATTGTTGAAGCTATTTGGCCAAACAGTTCAATGCCTCATGAGGCTTCATCTCACCATCACTAGTTAGTGCGAGTTGTGCATCACCTCAAGGGAGGATCTTCGTAGAGAACCTGGGTAGCCTACACAGGAGAAAATAATGTTTCTAATCAGTGCTGGGCTTAAGAGAGCAGCAGAGCCTTCACTCAGTGCTGGTTTCTTGTGTTGTAGATGTTGTTTCATTGTTTCTAGTCTCTTGCTTCCCTCGAGTATTTTCCCTGATGTTTATTGGTTTTTGTTTGGTTTTTCAGGTTTTTTTTTGTATTTTGTATTTTTGTCTCTGGTCCCCTTGGACTTCATTAAACCATCAAAACTCATCCGTGCCTACTCCTCTGCATTTGGGTACCGTACTCAAAATCTCCACACCACCTGACATATACCTTGATGAGCAAAGAGTATAAGATAATGGAACTAAAGGCTTTTAATGTAACATTCTGCTCATAGGTGGGAACTGAGTAAATTTTCTGTGGGCATCAGATTTCAAAGGGTTAGTAGAGTTAGGTCGAAATCATTAATACATTTTTGAGTTTAATATCTTTTTACTGTTTAATTTGCTGACCCCTGTTGGACAGGATTAGTAGATCCTTTGGAAATGAATTGATCACTGCTTCACCATCATTCTGTAATTCTTCTATCAGCTCGGACATGAGAGTGAAACTCCTAACATTGAGTCCCTGTTTGCTCGTTTCTCTCTGTCTCTGGAGGCGTTTAATCCTGACCATTACATCTCTTTGTGTTGGTCAGGCCCAGGAAGCCTTGATCCAACTGCCCAAGAGGCATGTGACTCCAGATTAGCGTTAGCCATGGCAACGTCCTCCTCTGTGATCCACAAGAGGAATTAAAAATCTTTGTGAGCCCAGCTCTTGATTTCTAGCTTTTCGTCGTTGTCCCTCTTCATGAACGCCCTGCTCCTCTTTTGTCCGCCCCTGCCTCTCATCCTGTCTGTGATAGCAAACACAGGAAGGCGAGCAAACAAGGCTGTTTATTTGCTGCTTAATTGAAACTTTTTTAATTGCTGTTTATCTTTCCGGGGTCCATTTTCTAATAGCAGAAATATTATCACTGTTTGCACTTACACAACATTGACTTCCATTTGGGGCAGAAATGGGTAGAGTGAGGACAGAGGGGGGATTGTTGTGCCTATTGGACTGGATTCAGCTCATGATTGTGGTTTTTCTGAGTGCTACGTGCTTTTGTTGTGAGCATTTGTGGCTGGAGCTTGATTCACTTCAGCTCAACACACACAGCAGCCAACTGCTGATTACACAGCACTTGTTTTGTCCTCTCTCTGCTCCTTTTGTTAGCTCAGAATCAGGCAGAGTTTTGTTCGATGTCCCCTTCTCTCCTGCATAAAGGATTCCCCCTGTCTGACTCTTAACTTTTGTAAAGCTGAGCAACCAGAAAAAAAGTCTGTCCTCTGGATGAATCCCAGGGTTTGATTATTATTTTGATGTTCTGATAAGTATCTGGAAAGTATTATTTTCATTCCATTTCCTGTTTGAAGAAGTGTTTGAAATTCAGAGCCGCATCTCTTTAAAAGTTAATTAGGGACTCTACATAAAGTGAGTCAGTTAGAAGCTGATGCTAGCACACCGGTCTTTTAAAAGATGTTAGAAATTTCCTTTTTTCTCTTTTGAGGGACTAGGAATAATAATGTGCATCCTTTCTTCAATAAACAATGCCACTAAGGACATAAATGAGAGTAATGGAAGATTTCCTCCCATCTCCAAAGATAAAGATGGTGAGCAAGGGAGACAGGAAGTTGGGAAATTTCAACCAAAACTTGAGGAAATAGCTTTTCATCATGTCATTTTTACCACTACAACTTGAAAAAGCAACACAGTTGATTGTAGCGGGCTCACTGACTAGAAAAGTGGATAGGATTGTCAGGTACTCTGATAGATTGGAGCCGAGATTATTTAGCAGATTGAATTCAAACTGGGTCATTTTGGAAAAACGATTATGAGCAACAAAGATCATGTGGGGTTCCACAAGGCTGCGTACTTGGACCACTTGATATACCATATACTCTTTAGCTTTTTTTTTGGGAGCACTTTAACATCGATTTCAATTATGTGTATGCTAGAAACACACATCTTTACATTAAAATTTAAAACTCAAGGTTATGAAAATATTTTTGTTTTAAATATTTGTGTCATTCCTTACAGTTTTTATTTTTACATTTTTATGTTGTGGCTTTCTGATTTTTTCTGATTCAACTTGTCAGTTATAAACCATGTAGACTTTGAGGACATGTTTACGTTTTATTCTAAAGAACAAAAACAAACATTTAGAATCTTATCTTCAGGTTTGCTGGTTTTAAACGTGTGCAAATGGGCTTCTCTTACTCTTCGCAACAGGATTTTTTCCCCCTATTCTTTGGTTTAATAAAACATTATCATGCATAAATCATGATTATCTACCTTGTCTTAAAGTATATCATGTCAAGGTGCTGTTGGTAGGAGCAGGTGGAGATAAATCCAGCTTTTTAGAACACAATCTACCCTGATGTCAATCAGCAAAAACAACTTTTTTATTTTATAGTATTATTATTGATTTATGTTATTTTTTATTTATTAGATTTTTATATTTTGTTATTTTAATTTAAAGTATTATGTCAGTCTCCGTGGCTTTGAACCTCATCTTTCCTTTATGGCTGCTCTCAGAAACCAGTTTGCTCTTAATGGGGCAAAACTAAATTGGTTTGCACATCTTAACAAATGCGCAGCGATCTTTGTAGATCAACAGCAACAAACACATCTATTGCACGTACTAAAAAAATTGCATGTTCAATTTAGCACCTCTCATTTGAAATCTTCGAAGATCAAACCCTTAGTGTCTATGCTAAAAAAGATCATAATTTTCTTCAGTTTACTATTTAACTTATTTTTATGAAGCCTTAGTAATTCACCATCAAGATTTTTAATCTTTATATTGTACTTATTTCAATTCTTGCGTTTTATTGTTTCATTGCTTATTCACGTTGTTTACTTTAATTCTCTGTAAATTACATTGTTTTACTTTTCATATATAAGTCGGTATTTTTATGTCAGTATCCATGATGGTGGTAGAACCAATTCACTTCCTTGTTTACCTTGAAGAATGATGTGTCCTCTGTGGGGGGGACTCGGGTCCCAGGAGAGCCCTACAAGCACAGCTCTGCCCTGATTACGAATCTCCTGTTTTTGTGATACACAACAAACTGCTGTTATGCCTTCAGCTCTGTGAGCTTCAACTATGTAGACATGAGATCTAGATATTTTTCAACTCGCATCTAATCAGACTTTAATGTCAAGTTTGCACAATGTTCCTGTTCCTTTCAATTTGTGTTTCGTTTGAGCCAGTTTGCTCTCTGATCACTGCGGCACTGAGCTGCTGCAGTAGCTGCACTGACGCTGCTCCATCATGTCTGCTGTTTTTATCTACTACAGCCCATGAGCTGAAGCTGCTCAATCTGACCTAAGTTCTTACTATAAAATGCTGCTTCTAGGGGGAAAAAAAAAAAGTGAGTGAGTGAGCAGTTACTCAGTTTTGTTGCAGCGACTGTTTCACTGCCTTTATTAGATTTATATTGAACACATTGACCAATATGTTCCCCTTCTCTCTGCAGGCTTTGGCTGCCAACGCAGGCACCGGGTTCGCTTTGTCCGAGCCCCAGGTGGCCATGTTCTGTGGAAAACTCAACATGCATGTCAACATTCAAACTGGTCGCTGGGAGCCTGACCCATCAGGAACCAAAAGCTGCGTAGGAACCAAAGAGGGCGTGCTGCAGTACTGCCAAGAGGTGAGTCAGAGCGACACTAATGCCTCACCACCACGTCCATGTCGTAGAAGTGTTGAAATCAAGCCTCTGAACTCACATAAAGGAAGTGACGAATCAGCTCAACATCATTAGTCTGAGTATTCAGACGATCTTTTGATAACTGCGGGAGAATTCTTATCTGTGCGAGTTCATTTAATCCTAGATGGGCTAAGTAATGAAAGAGTGGGATTTAAAGTTACAGGTGCTGTAAAATACTATAGAAAATCATTGAAAAGTTTTTTTTTTTTTTTCATTTTATTGGCTTTTATGGTTTATCAGAAAATTTAAATATTGTGAAACACAAATAAAAGGATATTTTATACAGAAATATCAGCCTATTAAATGTGTCCTAAGTACTTGGCTGGGACTCAGACTTGCTGCCTCAGTGCCGTTTGGCCTGGTTTCAGCCATCTTCCTCCTGATTATACATTTCTTGATGTTTAAGTCAAATGGATCACAGGACAGTCTAAGAAAGGATAGCATGCCTACATGGGTGGTTCTAGACAGGGGCCAATAGGGGCCCTACACAGCAGACTCTGGCCCCTATTATGGTTCCTGTACTGAAAACAAAAAAATTGCAAAAATTGAAATATAAGAAAATCTATTTTTCTTGAATTAAGTGTATTTCCCCCTGATTTGAGAAGGTTGGTGAGAGAATTTGCCAATGAAACAAGATGCTGCATGTTTAAGATAAGAAAAAAACAACAGTTTTATCTCATTTTAAGAGCATTATATTTAATTATCTTATTATATGGGAAAACATTTTAATTTCTTTGCCAGTTCATCTTATTTACCTGCTTGAATTAACAGCAAATGCCCTAAGGTTTACTTCTATAGATCAATATTTGTAGTGTAATACTAAATCAGTTTCTTATGATGACATGGCTGACAGAAGAGTCCTTACTGATTTGTTATAATATTTACAACTTGTGTCATAAATTACTTATAAATTATGCGTTAGATCAGGGATCTGCAGCTTTAGCCTTGTGGCTCATTTAATATACTAAACTATGTGCTCTTGCCCTGTTTTTATTTAGTCTTATAATTAGTGTGTGTATTTCTTATTCTTTTGTTTTGTACTACTGTGACAGAATAGTGTCCCCCGCTTGAACAGTCTTGCATGTTTTCTTACAATTATTTTAAAGTTTAGAAAAATCTAAATAGAACTTAATGATGCATCTGTTTATGTATCATACCAACATTTAAAATTGAGTTTTTTTTATGTTTTACTTGAAGGCATCATTTATTTTATAAGTAAAGATCTGTACTGATCTGGGAAGACTGAGTAAGTCCCTATTCATTTCATTTTGTGATTTGTTCTCAGAGATGCTATCAAGCTCTTCCTGGAGGTTGCATGTTATTGTGGTGGGCGGCATTTCAATTATCAGCCCCTCAGCTGGTCATTATCTGGACTCTGTCTGAAATGAAGGGGGAGGTTTTCCACAATATCAATATCCTTACTTTTGCCCTGGCCTCGTGTGTTGGAGTTTTTCACAATTTTTAACATTTTACCAATGTGTGCAACTTTTAAATGATGACCTTTCAATTCATATTTTTCTTTCAGTATCATTTTACTATACTTATGCATTGCAATTGAAGTTAAATGACTGTTTTATCTTATGATTTGTTTATTTTTAACATGTTCTCATATAGCTGGCTCATTGGTTCTTATCCCTACAATATAATGGGGATGGAGTCTACATTTGTTCAAATGTTAAAACATTTTAACATTTGTTAAAATGTAAAAAATTCTGAATGACCTCTTTACAAAGAAGGATGACAGTAATTCTGTTGGGAGTTCATTGAGAAAAATGTCCTCAGATGCTTCAGTTGCCTTTTTCAGATGACATTTTCATGGTATTTAAGGAAAGTGCAAACCTGTGTGCTCTTTCACAGATGAGCAGATGCCATCTAGTAGGTATAAAGCCCAGATTAGAGTTTCTGTTGAAGCTCCACTCAACCAAGAGCAATCGGTGTTCAATATCCATGACTTTGTTCCTTTTCTCAACAGATGTATCCAGAGCTCAAAATCACCAACGTAGTGGAAGCCAACAAGCCTGTCCGCATTGAGAACTGGTGCAAGAAGGAGAAGAAAGTGTGCAAAGGCCACGCCCATATTGTTGTGCCTTACATGTGCTTAGGTAAGCTAGAGTTTCTGATTCTTGTAAATGCTCCTTTAAATCAGTCCTTTAATTCTCTCTGCTTTCACTGTAGAGAAAGAAGAGCATATGAGTCATTTTAGCCTTGGGCAGAGGTGACATTGACTGATATTGGTCTAGGTTCACCACTCCTGGCCTTTAGCTGCAGACTGAGCCGATCCACGCTGGATGGGGAGTTAATGTCTTCCAGAATGGATGGCTGATGGGGGGAGGATTTTATTGCTGGGGAGGCTTGTTGAGCAATAAAGCACAATCTTATTTGCCCCCTCAGACAGTGGTCATAAACTCACACTGACACACAGGGTCAACAACAGAGGGCTTGCTTTATTGCATCTCGTTCCTCCTTTTCCTGCACTGTCACAAACGACTCTCTTCCTCCTTTGTTCCTGGCAGAATCACTGTAATCAGCAGCAGCAACATGGCTGTGTTCTGCTTTATGAAATGCCACATGCAGCCTCAGAGTTTGCCTCAGATGAACAAAAAACACAGCAGACTTTTCTCCCTCTGAGGACTGAGGGAATTGGAGAAACAGATTGCTGAAAACAAATCTCCATCCTGCTATAGAAAAAAGGAACATCTTTTGTCTGGGATGAAAGATGTTCCCGGGATTAAAACAGATCATACATTTTAGCTCCGGACAATTAATTTACTATATAATTATACTAAATTCAGTGAGGAGAATGCTTTACAGAATTTGTTGGACATCAAACGCTCTAGTGGAACCGGCCCTTTTTAGCTGAGACAGAAAAAGAGATTTGAAGTGTCCTTTATCTTATGTCTTAAAGGCAAATTTTTTAGGCATTTTTCAGTCCTGTGATATTTTTTTTCATGTCAAACTTATCTTCAATGAATTAAGCAATTTCAAACTTTCTGTGAAATTAGGATCTATTTAAAGCATATTTAAATCCTGTAGTAGTGCTTTATTACATTATACTGTTAAACTATTCTGCTGTATATTTATTGATTGGCAAATATGTTCCCCTATCTGACATTTTTTAAAAAAATACAACCTCATATTAAAAAAAGACTCGGAGTTTAATTTATTTATTGCTGATTGTAACCATAAAATCTAAAAATTAATATTTCAGCGTCATTGCATGAAGCAGAACACTTTATTATGCAGTCATTATCAGATCTCTCAAACAATCATAGAAAATTATTCTCAGCTGTAATCACCTCATTAATTATCAAATTTCATCAATTAAAGCTAGTCTGAGTGTTTTTTCCAGAACATCTAGGCGCAGCCTTATCAGAAATAAAAAGTCCTCAGCAGTGCGCCTGATAATAACGAAAACATGAGATGATGGATTGTCAGACCTGAACAGGAAATGAAAGGTTTAATGCGTCACATATTTGAGGGTAGAGTATAAGAGTCACTTTAGGCATATTCCAGCCATTTGTAAAAGACTGTATCTATAAGCCTAAAGAGGACATCTGTGTTTATAATCATGCAGTACAGTGCCTCAGACTGGTCCATTCACATAGATACACACCTTTGTGTATTTAGGCTCCATCTATAAATTAAATAAATATAACTGTCTAAAAGATGATTTTACCACTAAACTTTATTGCATTCAGATCTCTAAAGGTTTATCACCTCAGACCTCAGAAGGTGTCTGCTGTTTGTAGGTTTTATTTATTGCTTAAACTATTATTTGTGATTTTGATAATAAAGGCTCTAAAAATATACACTTTTCTGAAAAAAAAAATAAATGTAAGGGAAAACAAAAACTTCCTGCTTTGTAAATATGTTCTATACAGAAATAATTAAGTGGCATTTCTGAGCCTTAAATCAATTTTTTGTACATGTTTTAGTTATATAATTTAAAATGTGATTTGTGGTTTAAACCAGTGTTTCCCAACCTTTTTTGACTTACAGTATGTACCCCTTTTGGCATTTTTTCTTACCATGAGTATCCCCCCTCAATCAAAAGTATTGACAATTGTCCAAAAGTACAATAACTGATTATAAAATAAAGCTATTTTACTAAATCTTTTAACCTGAGCATTTAATTGTTATGCGTTTTATTCTTTCCATCTCAAAAAGAAAACAACACAAATATGTTGCCTTGAAGTTAGTAAGGAATCAAAATAAATACAAAATAAAATCATATTATAAACCTGTACTTATAAAACTGGGTTATAATCACATTTAAACTTGATGAAATGTGAACAAGAGGCAGAATAAAAATTGTAGTCAGACTGACTTAATTAGTTTTATTTGTTTTCATCAAGACACCTGAGCTGCTTTGATGAGCTCCAATAGCTCAGCATGAAAAACAGCTGATCCTAGGCTGCTCCTCTGCTTGGTTTGGATATTTGCATATAAGAAAAACTTAAAAAAAAAAAAACTTTAACATTCAAACTTTAATATTCCCCTGCCACCGGAAACGGAAATGGGGCCTGTTTACACAGTTGTAGTCTTTTCGCTTCACTCTGTGTACTCCGACGTCGAGGTGCTAACGTCTCTGTTAAACACTTTAAAAAACTCTGAAAATGGAATACGAAAGGTGGATTCTTGATTCTCGACGTCGGAGTACACAGAGTGAAGTGAAAAGACTACAACTGTGTAAACAGGCCCCATTTCCGTTTCCGGTGGCAGGGGAATATTGACTATTCCAACAGAACTCAATGGGATTTACAAAATGCTAAATAAAACACTACAGGAACGTTTTTTCTTTACGAAACTTTTTTTGGAACGTCATTGAACAGCGCTGACGACCCGGTGAGTAGCATATTTTTAAAAAAGAACGTTTAAGGTTGTTTTAAGGACATTATCGGACATGCATTATGGAAGCCATTCTGAAGCAGCCAGGGGTGGATTCTAAATGAGCCAAAAAGCAGAGACAGGACCAATTGTCAAAATTTTGGTGTCGATCATTCGATTTCATCCTGGACACTACAGAAAATGGCCTAAAAGTGTTAAAAACCGGAATTCTCCTTTAATTTTTCAATTGGGTCCTCACCTATTTTATTTAATTATGTAAGAAATAAAATATTTTCATGTACCCCTTGCAATACACTCATGGACCACTATGGGTTCTGGGTATGTATATATTTATATTTATATTATGTTGTGTGGTTTGTTGTATGTATGTATATATATATATATATATATATATATATATATATATATATATATATATATATATATATATATATATATATTAGTGCTGTCAAAATTATCGCGTTATTATCGCGTTAACGCGAGGCCATTTTAACGGCGATAATTTTTTTAATGTGAGATTAACGCTATGTGGTTTTATGGTACAATTTTCCAAGTACATCCCGCTGCAGCCTGCGGGAAGGCGGGGCTATTTTCCCCCAGTCTATGCATTTCTCATAGGGTTCAAGAGCGGAGCTCCTCAAGGAAAAAAGACGCTCATACACTGGGTGACGCTAGTGCCTTTTCTTTCAGCCCCACCACCAACAAACAAGTTGAGTGTCTGGTAACTAGTAGCAACCTGAAATACGCTGAGAAAACAGATTACTGAGGTGAAATGGAATCTGCTACGGCACACTTGCTGTCTGTGTACGCCACAGGTCGGTATCGTGTGTGTGTGTGGGTGGGTGTGTCTGTGTGTGGGTGGGTGGGTGTATGTGTGTTCTCATTTTTGTTAAGAGGCTGAAAAGTAACTTTCTAGAGTATAGACTACCTCCATCTAGTGATGTCGGTCTATTGATTTTGATGTATTGATTGAAAATTGTTCATTATTATCTTGGTTAATTAACATCTAATGTTAACTGTACTACATTTTATAGCAGTAGGGTAAAATGCTTGTCTTTGTTCAAAAGACTGTATTAACTGTAAAGACTGTCTTTTACATCAGCCTGTTTTCAGGGCCTTTTTTTTGGCTACATATTTGTTATTTTTTGCTACATGCCTCCCCATCTTCTTGCCATATGTTTCTATGGCATAAATCAGTGTCTGTGACCTGTTTTCATTTAAAAAAAAGAACATTGGCACAAACCTAGCCTGTATGTATTTTTTGTATGTCATCGAGAGTATTTAAATGATTTTCAATCAGAAAAAAAATTTGCGATTAAAATGCGATTAATCGCGAGTTAACTCAGGCATTGATGCGATTAATCGCGATTAAAAAAATTTAATCGATTGACAGCACTAATATATATATATAAATGTTTGTATATCTGGAGTGTGTAACATAAGTAATTTCCCTCTTGGATCATTAAAGTATTTTTGATTCTAATTCTGATTCGCCTACCTCCGGTTGGGGATCACTGGTTTAAACAATTAAGGTTTATTAATTGGATAATGGCATTTCTTTTTAAGATTATTCACAAAAATATTCGAGTACTAAAATAATCTGGAGCTGTAACCTCAGTTTTATTACTGTATGACATCCTTCCTTCCATCTGGGTACCTTGTGCCCTGGTAACTGCAGGGAATGAGATCAGATAAACATGCTTAGATTTAAAAAAAAAAGTCAACACCACTGTAAACGAGGCATAAAAATGCCCTTCTTTTTAATTAATCTTTTTTCAGCTGTAAGATCTGAAAATGTAACTATGCACATAGAAAATGGTTAAAATGAGCTAATTTATTCTATGGAAGACAGAAACCCCACCGTTTTTATTTCTAGTGAAAGAAGCAGGACAAACCTACCCCCAACTCTGCTCAAGTGTGGAAATTAGGTGATTTTCCTATTCCTCTTTTGTTTCACATCAGTGTGTTTGTTGACACCAAGCTTAGTTTTCAGGAAAATTCCTGGTGCTTCGGTGGGATTAGAAGAAAAGTCTTTTTTTCTTGTATGCCTCCCACGCAAACAAGTGTCTAATGACTGATGTAAAGATCTGAACACCACAGGAAGCCACTATGTGCTTTAGACCTCTAAGAGACATTTGCACATATTTGTTCTCCTTCTGTGCCTTCCTGCTTGCCGTACGTGGCGGCAGGATCATTCCCCTGGAAAATGGGAATGAACATGGAGTTGCTAGACAAAGCATTTTCAAAAAGTTAA